ACACACACACACAGACACACACACACACAGACACACACACACTCAGCTGTTTCCTCTTCAGGTGTGTGTTATTCACAGTGGCAGGTCGAGGTCACTCTGTTAAACACTCTGGGTAATAAATAAGTCTGACAGGAGGGAGGAGCCCGGGTTGGTGGGGATTCAGGTGGTGCTGATGGAGGAGGGAGGGGTAGATTTGGAGCGGTGAGTTTTGGTGGTGCAGCAGCCCAGATGTGAGCCTGAGGAGGAGGAGGAGGGTGTTTGGCTGATGAAATGAATGCAGCAGGTTTGCGGGTTAATCCCGGGTCACCTCTGAGTCGTCCCGCTGTCACACACACCACTCGCAGTTTTGAGGCCAGGATTAGCATGAATGTAGGTGAGTTTACATCCGTGACCCCGACGGTGGCGTGCTAATCTGGACGTTCGAGTCTTGTTTCTGGGTCAGAACAGAGCTGTTAGCAGATCCTCCTGACAGCACGGATGTGAAAGACTAAGAGCTGAGTGTTTGATGTGGAGTCAGATTCACATCGCGCCCTCTAGCAATGATTGATCCGTGACTTCCTGTCCTCCAGGTTTACTTCCTGCTGGACAATGAGCGCCTCGTGTTTGTAGGGCTGCTGTGGTAATAATGACGACTCACGTGGAGGTCTCAGCATCGCTGACTGATAGTAGCAGAGGATGCAGCGCTGCTAGACGCCGCAGCGCCTCTGTGTCGGCGTTTACAGAAGCTTAGCTTAGCTTAGCCTCCCTTACACCCAACAGTGACGTGCACACTCTCAGCTTCAAGTCAACAAGCTGAACAAAAGTACTGAAAGTGCTGCATCAGCCATTTTCATACACTGCCTGATTATCAGAGGCTCAGAGTGAGCAAACAGACAAATGTCCATGTAAGGTTTGTGTTTAACGCCGGCGCTCGTGGGTGGAGATCATGTGACTGATGAACGCAGGAGCGGCTCTGAACCGAGGACCAGATAAAGAAGGATTATATTCAACTGTGAACCAGGCAAAGCTGAATAAGACTGTAACTGTGTGTGTGTGTGTGTGTGTGTGTGTGTGTGTGTGTGTGTGTGTGTTGCAGTCTGAGATGTTGCTGCAGCATCAGTCTAACCCGTGTCTGGTGA